GCCTTTTATCCATAAAATGGGGGTACATGCCATGAGAGTTAGTGGAGGGGATGTCTTCAGGGGGTATAGGACTTGCTCATAGTAGATGTGCAACAAATGCCCCCATTAGGATAATCATTGTTGCTAGACTGTAAGTTCCAATGAGAACAGGGACCTTGTTCATCTTGTTCCCCACTTTTCACCAGTCACGATGACTACCATTTACTAAAGATAGTAAGTGGAAGCTAGGAAAAGTTTAGTAATTTGGCCAAGATTACGAAGCTAGTAAGAGGCAGAGTTGGGATTTGAACTCAGAGCAGACTAGTGCTGGAGACTGAACCCATGGGTGCTGTACCACTGAGCTACAGCCCCAGCCCTTTATTTTCTGTTTTGAAACAGGGTCTCACCAAGTTGCCCATGTTGGCCTTGAACTTGTGATCCTCCTGCCTTGGCCTCCTGAGAGGCTGGATCATGGGCCATGCCAACAATCCTGAAAGGGAGTTCTTAATCTTAATCACTATACTAAGTTTCTTCACAGGTACTTTTTCTCCTCTCCACTTTCTTCTTGTATCTGTTCTTGACATCTTACCTTTTTACTAACATAACAACCAAAAAACAAATGACTGCTGACATATATACATATGGTAGTGTATGTGTGCAGGGGGCATTCCGACGGGCACTTTACATGCATTAACTCATGTAACTTCCCAAAGAGTCTCTAAGAAAGGTATGAAGTTTCTCCCCATTTTACAGATGAGAAAATTGTAATGGAGCTGAGAGACTGTGTGTAGTTCAGGAGCCAGGACATCCCCCCTTTGGAAGCTCGGCTTTGCCATGCTCAATGAGACTTTGGCAAAAATCTCTTCCCTCCATGTCCAGTCAGTTCTGCTTGCCAGGTCTCCCCAGCTTCCCTTCCTGACCTCGCATTTTTTTTTTCTGGACACTTCTCTCTGACCCCTCCCACAGGGTTTTCTCTTCCTGCTGTTCTAGGTTTCTTTCCCCAGTCCCTCCTGAGCTTTGGCAGGCCAAGGTTACAATTTCAAAAGGAGCTGAACTCCTTCTGGAAAGGGGCTGGGACCCAACCCCTCCCCTTCCCGTCTCTGCCCATAAATACCCCCTGTGTGCTGCGCCCAGGGGCCGGGGAGCCTGGCCCGTGCTGATCTGTAATTAGAAACTTTTCTCCCTTCCCTGGCAGGAGGAGGGACGGCCCAGGTCTGGCCCAGCCATTTTGTTTGTCATGAATTATTCAGGAGATGGGAAGTCGAGAGGAGAGGGCCCCTCTACTGACCAGACCAGCTCGGGTCCTGCCCAGAGCAGTCTGACCCACCCAGAGTTCCCTTCACCATTTCAGTTTCAAAGAATAAACAAGCCATGTGCCAGGCTTGACAAACCAGGGGTTTTCATGAAACCTTCTGTGGGAGGTGTGTTCTTCACCTGAGGCCAGGTAGAGGGACTTAGCGCCACAAGGCTAGGAAAGAGGGTGGCTGAGCTGGGTTCAAACCCAGGAAGCACATGTACAGTGCTCATTTGGGTTATGGCAGCTATGGGTGCTGGGCAGAGGAGGAAGAGGAAGGAAAGCCCCGCAGGCTGGCTGAAGAGGGCAACAGGTGCTTTCCTGTCCCTTCTTTCTCTTGCTATGTCCATGCAAGGGGGAGAAGAGGGGTGATGTGGGAGGGAGAGAACATGACTGGAGGCACTGAAATCTGGGTGATGGGTGGGTTTTATTTTATTACCCCAGCACAAAAAAGAAAGAAAGAGGAGAGGGGATTCTCACAACTCTCTGAGAAAGATGCTATTATGTCCATTTAATGGATATGGAAACTGAGGCTCATAGACATTGAGGGAGTTTGTTTGAGGATATAGACAACTGGTTAGTGGCAGAACAGGATCCCCTCCCTTCATGGTATACTCTTTGGCCACCATTCCTGGTGGATGGGGAGGCATGGGCACCAAAGAATCCTGGCCCCTGGTTCCACGATCATTCTTGGCTTGGACTTCCCTTGTCAAACCTCCCTGTATCCAGGCACTGCTCCAGGATAAGCCCTCTGCGGATCATAAATGACTCTAAATGAGCATCCGGCTGATATCTGCCATCCCACACTGGTTAGCCTCGCAAGGTGGCCTTTGAGGAGGCTCAGGGCTTCCTCTTTGGCACCCAGCCGGCCATTCTGACAGACCAGCTTTCAGTGTCGTTTCTGGAGAAGCTGAGAGTTCAGAATTTGGAAAATGACTGGCTAATTCCACTCCTTACTTTCTGTATGAACTTGGGCCAATTCCTTAAACTCTCAGAGAACTGGAATGAAGATAAGGAATAAAGATGGGCTGTTGTGAAGAGTAAATAGGATAACACACAGAAAACAGCTGACATCATGCCTAGCACATAATGAGTGCTCAATAAACGTTGCCATTATTATTATTATTTATTATTACCATTATCATTATTCTAATTCCTGATGACAGCCTCTCCTTAAACTAGGTTAACTGGAAGGCAGAAACCACCAGATGTTGAACACATGTCTTCTGGAAGAATCAGCACTGCAATTTTTCCCCGGGAAATCTCCCCCGTCTGATATCAGTCCCTCTCTACCTTGAATGGACCTTCCTCTGCCCCTGCAGCAAGGGGTAGCCCTGAGATCCAGCCTGGACACAGGATTGGTGGAAGAATGGGCATGTGACCTGGTGAGAGCCAATCAGAGGGAGGACTGAGATTTTTTTTTTCTTTGAAGAGAGACCCACTTTCCCCTTGGGAGGGAAAGGATGCCTAAAGCTTCTGAGCCCCAAAGCAGAACCAGGACCTGGCCAGGAGGACATTAACTGAAGTCTTTGAACTCATGAATCTTATTGTGAGTCAGTGAGGAATAATGATTATTACTATGATTTTTTTTTTTTTGCTTGCATCTATTTGAGTTTTCAGTCACTGACAACCAAATGTTCTGACTGAACATGTCAATAAGGTGCACTTTCTCTTTTCCTCTCTCTTTATAGATAGACATAGGAATATAAAATATATGTATCCTGTCTATCTTTAATTAAAATGACAGCGCATGTTGGAGACTCACTTCTAATTATTACTTTTGTTTTACAAACTTAGGTCAAGAGAAAATGTCGAGTAAGACTTTAAGATTCACAACACCTAGGTACAAATTAAGGGCCTTTACTCATTCAACCTCCACTGCCGTGGAGTCTCAGACTCAGAGTCACGGCTTGGTTTTAACCAGGGTTTTCTTTTCTGCTTTCAGGAAAACATTTAATTTCCACCCTGGGCGTAGTCTGTGCCTAGCTTCCTTGTGGTGCACTGTTTCTGTCTGCCCTTTGTCTGTCTGTCGCTGGTGTCAGAGCTGGTAACTATCTGTTTACAGTTGCAAACAGAGGCATCAATTGCCTTTTGAACCTCCTATTTTCCTGTAAGTGCTCCCTGCTCAATTACATTTGCTGTCTCACTTGCATTTCTTTCTGCATAAAGAAGAGTGTCTGTTTTCCCCCCCTAAAATCTGATCACCTGCAAATCCCCACGTATTCTCTCATGTATTCTTTTATAGAGGCAGCAGGAGCGACAATCATACAGGCAGCACCTATTTGCATAGGCTAGAGTTTACAAGACAAGTTGCCACAACCCGGAAGTTTCTAGACCAAACAACAAGGTAGCTGTTGGGTGGTAGGAAGAACACTGAAATTGGAGTCAGATCCGTGTTTGAAGTCTGGTTTTTACTGGGGAGTGATATTGGCCAAATTGTGTGCATGTAGAATATGGAAAAACAAATCCCAACATTGTATACAACTATAATGCATCTGTAAAAATAATATGGGAAAAGATTATCTGATTCCTTTAACTAAAGAGAGACCCACTAGAAACAACTGACTGTAATTTAAAAAGAAAAAAAAATGTGGTTTTATCATTCACTTGCTGTGTGACCTGGGGCAAGTTACCTCACCTTGCTGAGCCTCAGTTTTCATCTATAAAATGGACATGATAGTACGGGCTTCACAAGGCAGGATCATGTAGTGACTTGATGAAAGAACTTTCCTCTGGAAAAGTGCTTTTCTTTGTCCTTTACTTGTCTGGTTTGGGTTCAAAATAATAAGAAAACTAACATTTATTGGGTACCTAATATGGGCTTACAATTATTTCTAGTTGTACTTAGCCTTACCATGACCCCTTCAAAGTTACTGCTGCTATAATATCTCTACTTTACAGGGGATAAAGCAGAGGATCAGAGAGGATAAGTCAGTTGCTGAAATCACACAGCTAAGACACAAAGCCAGGATTTGAAATCAACAGTTTCACTCCGTAGCTTTCCCTTAATCATAACCATATGTCCCCCACTATGGTAGGAGATATCAGCCACCCACATGGGAGGCCACACAGGCCAGCGGCTAGGGTTGCTGTCTCCCAGAGGAAGTCATACAGTGTGCTGACTTTCCTGCTCCACATCCCAACTCTACTCCTGCCGTCTCTAGTCAACAGAGAGCTTGATGTCACTAGAGTCCAGGCCCTAGCACTTTTGGGAGACCTGTTAGGAATAAGGAAATGGCAGGTTGGCTTTGGAATCCAAAACCTGGCTCCTCCTGGCCATTCATGCCCCCTGTGGATTAAGGGGAAGTAGAGAAGCCAGGGACATGGGTCCTGTGGGAACTGGGAACAGGGGGATCCATAGGCACATACATACATCCCACATGCCGCAGAGCACAGGCTAAGATGTGCATGCACCCCTGCAGCCAGGTTCACAGTGAGCACATGAGGACATGTAGACAGATGTGTGACTTCACCAGTACCTGCATCCCCCACTCATGCCCTGATACACTCACCCTCCCTGAATTAAATTAATTCCTGGACTTGGTCGGAACCCATTAGGCAGAGTAGTGGATGGATCAAGTACACAGGCCCTATCCTTAGCTGCTGGTTCTGGTTCTCCCACAGAACAGCTATGTCTCTGGGCAAGTTCTCTCACCTTTCTGTGCCTCAGTTTCCTTATCTGCCAGTGGGATCATAATACCCCCTTGCATTGTTGTTAAGAATTTTGGTGCTCGCTTCGGCAGCACTTATACTAAAATTGAAATGATACAGAGAAGATTAGCACGGCCCCTGCACAAGGATGACATGCAAATTCATGAAGTGTTCTATATTAAAAAAAAAAAAAAAGAATTTTGTGTAGATGTAGCACACAGTAAGCCACCTTTAAAGGATGCTGTGACTTTTGTCTAACAGGCCAGCTCTTCTGGGAAACAGACTCAAAGATAGAGTTTGGGGTGCAGAATTTTATTAAGAGGTGCCTGTTTTCGTTAGATTTTTTCATTGCAGTGACCAAAAGACCTGATAAGGACAATTTTAGAGGAGGAAAAGTTGATTTGGGGCTCACAGTTTCACAGGTCTCAGTCCGTAGACAGCCAGCTCCATTGTTCTGGGCCTAAGGTGAAGTAGGTCATCATGGCAGAAGAATGTGGTGGAGGAAAGTAGTTCAGGACATGGCCACCAAGAAGCCAAGAAAGAGAGAAAATATAAACCAACAAAATGTAAACCATAAAGGCACACCCTCAGTGACCCACCTCCTCCATCCACTTCCTACTGCCCGCAGTGACCACCCAGTTAATCCCAGGACATTAATGCACTGATCAGGTGAAGGTCTTCATAAACCCATCACTTCACCTCTAAACTTTCTTGCATTGTCTCACATGTGCGGTTTGGGGGACACCTCCTATCTTAACCATAACAGTGCTCTTGGTATTGACACTCGTGGAAAGAAAGGGAGGGAAGCAGGGTTGGGTAGAGGGGGGCTGTAATGCAGTGGAAGGATCAACTCAGTGGAAGCCTCAGCCAACCCCATAGTTTGAAGCTGAGATGGTCTATCAGAGTTTTCCTGAGTTGGGATGAGAGGGCTTGGCACTTAAACCTGCCGACCAGTTTAAGGATACGAGTATACCGAGAAGGGACTGTAACCTTGGTGAGATGACTCTCCTCAATCAGGGATCCCAGGTGAGCAGTCAGCAACTGACACTTCCAGTGTCCCGGGAAATTCATGCCTGACCTAATCAGGAATCGGGCTGGACCTCTCAGACCATATCTGGCAGAGGGGTCCATTCTCTCCTTGTTGGACTCCAAAAGAGTCTCTGAAAACAGAGTCTCAACTTTCCCAGATTTAGCCCTCAAACTTAGTGCTTTGGTCTTGCTTCTGTAGTCCATGGCACTTTGTTCAAACCTCAGGATCCCACTGAGTACATCCTTGACTAATAATAAGTGATGCTAACATTAACAAGCATTTGTTCAATAGACATGAACCAGTTCTAAGTGCTTAACATGGATTAACTCGTTTAATGATGACAACCACCCTATGATGACAACCACCTTATATGTAGATATAATTATCTACATTTTATAGATGAGGAAACTAAGACACAGAAAGCCTAGGCAATTTGCTATTGATCACACAGCTTATATGTGCTGTGCCAGGTTTCTAACTCACGAAGTCTGATTTCAGAACTTCCAGTCTTGCTGGGGTGTATACCTGTAATCCAGTGGCTTGAGAGGCTGAGGCAGGAAGATCACAAGTTCAAAGCCCCTCAGCAACTTAGAGTGGCCCTAAGAAACTCAGGGAGATCCTGTCTCCAAACAAAATATTTTAAAAGGCCTGGGGATATTGCTCAGTGGATAAGCACACCTGAGTTTAATCCCTGGTACCAAAAAAAGAACTCACTCATAGTCTTAGTTGGGTACAACAGCACATGCCTATAGTCTCAGCTACATGGGGGACTGAGGCAGGAGGATCACTTGAGCCCAAGAGCTCAAGGCCAGCCTAAACAACATAGTCAGACCCTGTCTCTAAAAAGAAAGAAAGAAAGATGAAATGAATGAATGAAAGAATTCAGTCTTAACTAGCGGATCTCTGTGTTGAGTAGTTAGTGTTAGCATGGATGATGGATACCTATGAATCAATGAACCGACAGAGGATGAACGGATGGATGAAGTAGATGGACAAATGGATGGACAGACAGTTGGAGTCTCAGATGAATGAATACCTGGATGGATGGATGGGTAGATGGATAGATGGATGGATACTTAGTATCCTGGTCTTCCTGGAATTTTCCATCATAATAGTTTATTCTCTATCCTTGACATAAGAGCATCTGGGTCAACATCCATAGGGAGCATGACTCAGCCCCTTGTGAAGAAGACAGATCTAGATCTTCACTTCCTGGGGCTCTGACTTACAGCCAAGAGATGATGGGACAGTGTAGAACTGAGGGAGACCTCAGAGGCAGTGGCAGAATCCCAGTCTTTCAGCTCTGTGGCCTGGGGTGAAGTGGTGAGCCTTCCTCTCCCCGCTGCAGAAGGCTTATGCATATATAATGCACAATTCTTTGCAGTAGGAACTGTGCCAAGGCAGTTAGTCCTCTTTCACTTGTGGGAATCAATCCATTCCCAATTTAGTTCATCCAGGTACCAACTTTTTCTCTCCTGTTTATTTTTGCAATTCTGTTCCTAAGTACTCTCCTTCTCAGGCATTTTCCTCTGCTCCTCTTAGTGCTCCATTCTCCCAACAATGGAACAGCCATGGCTGAACACGTGCTGGGGCTGCCAGATTTCCTCCCTGTCTGGGCATGTGATCCCTAACTACGATTTCCTTTTTTTTTTTTTTTTTTTTTGGTGATGGACAGGCAGCACCCAGCCCTGGAGGGGAGATGCAAAACTGGGGGTATAATTCTGAGAAGCTTTGAGTCTTGTTGGAACTCAAAAGCCCCATGGGAAGTTTTTTTCTTTGTAGTTGTAGATGGACAGATGCCTTTATTTTTATTTGTTTATTTTTATGTGGGGCTGAGGATCGAACCCAGTGCCTCATGCATGCTAGATGAGCTCTCTACCATTGAGCTACAGCCCTAGCCCCCATGGGAAGTTTTCTAAGGCAGTGTTTTGGAATTCCCACAGCCTCAAGTCCTTAGATTGTCACCCTGAGACCACAGGATGGAGTATAGTGGAAAAATCTAGTAATTTAAGCTGGGCTCTTTCCTTGACTTTTGGCATATCACAACCCTTTTCGGAATCCCACTTTTTCAACCTGAAAAGGAGCATTTGAACTTGGCATGGTGGCACATGCCTGTAATCCCAGCAGCTCAGGAGGCTGAAGCAGGAGGACCATGAGTTTGAAGTCAGCCTCAGCAATTTAGCAAGGCTCTAACCAATTTAGTGAGACCCTGTCTCAAAATAAAAAATAAGAAAGAACTGGGGATGTGGCTCAGTGGATGAGTGCCCCTGGGTTCAATTCCTGGTACTAAAGAAAAGGAGAGTTTGAATATGCAAATTCATGCAAAGGAAGTCATATGACCTAATTCTAATCTCAGCTGAACCACTTACCAGCTATATTTACCTCTCTAAGTCTCAGTTTCCTCATCTGTAAAATGTGGATGATGAGATCACCAACTTCGTAGGGTTCTTGTGAGAATTAAATAATAGGGCACGTATGAAGTGGGAAGGACAGTGCCCAGGGACAAAGTAAAGGCTCAATAATTGGTGGTGGGGCTGGGGATATAGCTCAGTTGGTAGAGTGCTTGCCTCGCATACACAAGGCTCTGGGTTCAATCCCCAGCACCACAAAAAAATAGATAAATAAATAAATAATAAAATTGGTGGTCTTGTTAGAGAAGAAGAAAAGGGGAGGAGAGTTTCCAGCAGAGATGGATATTCCTATTCCAGGTGTTCCTACACAGTCTTGCCAAGCTGATACAATAAAACTAACTCAGGGGCTGGGGATGTGGCTCAAGCTGTAGTGCGCTCGCCTGGCATGCGTGCGGCCCGGGTTCGATCCTCAGCACCACATACAAACAAAGATGTTGTGTCCGCCGAGAACTAAAAAATAAATATTTAAAAAAAATTCTCTCTCTCTCTCTCTCTTTAAAAAAAAAAAAAAACTAACTCAGCTGGGCGTGGGGGGGGGGCACATACCTGTAATCCCAGTGACTTGGAAGACTGAGGCAGGAGGATTATAAGTTTGAGGCTAGCCTGGGCAATTTAGTGAGATCCTATCTTAAAATAAAGCTTAAGAAGGCTGAGGGTATAGCTCAGTTATAGAGTACTCCTGGGTTCAATCCCCAGTACCACACACACACACACAAAAAGAAGACTGACACATTTTTATTTTTTGCTGTTTATTGAGTTCAGTCAGGGACTCACACATGCTAAGCACCTGCTCAACCACTGAGCTGCATTCCCAGCCCATTTTATTCTATTTGAGACAGGCTCTCACTATGTTTCTCAGGCTCAGTCTGGCCTCAAATTTACAATCCTCCTGCCTCAGCCTCCCAGGTGCCAGCCTCCCAACAATAGTGGTCATTTCTAGTAGAGTTCAAGCGGCATTTGTTTTCTAAATTTCTACAATTGTATTTTTGGTTTGTTTTCCCATTTGTATGTTTTATAAAGTTTAACAGAATATATTTAGAGATAAAACTAGAAGGAAAGGGGATGCTGTGGTGCATGCCAGAAACTTGGGAGGCTAAGGCAAGAGGATCAAAAGCAACTTGCTTGGGACTGGGGCTGTAGCTCAGTGGTAGAGCATTTGCCTGGCATGTGTGAGGCACTGGGTTTGATCCTTAGCACCACATAAAAATAAACAAAATAAAGGTACTCTGTCCTTCTACAACAACAACAACAACAACAAAGCAACTTACTGAAACCCTCTTTCAAAATAAAAATAAAACCGAGCATGGTGGTGCACATACCTGTAATCCCAGCAGTTCCAGAGGCTGAGGCAGGAGGATCACAAGTTCAAAGCCACCCTCAGCAACAGTGAGGTATAAAGCAACTGAGTGAAATCCTGTCTCTAAATAAAATACAAATAGGGCTGGGGATGTGACTCAGTGGTTGAGTACTCCTGAGTTCAATCCCCTGTACCAAATAAATAAATAAATAAATGGGAACTGAGGCCAGGCATGGTGGTGCATACCTGTAATCCCAGAGGCTTGGGAGGCTGAAACAGGAGAATTACAAGTTCAAAGTTGGCCTCAGCAAAAGTGAGGCGCTAAGCAATTTAGCAAGACCTTATCTCTAAATACAAAATAAAAAGGGGTGAAGATGTAGCTCAGTGGTTAAGCGCCTCTGGGTTCAATCTCTAGTATAAAAAAAAAGTGGAGGGTTACTGAGGA